CCAGTTTATACTGAGGAAGGAAGGCAGAGTGTCTGGTAGAATCACATGTAACATCCTACAATCCTGGAGGCCCGAGGTCACTGTGCTGCCCACTGTGTCACTGCACTCATATGAGCTGCAATCATATGATTACCTGTATAAATATTGACAGCATCATTTTACTGTACTTTTCATTAGAGCCCATAGCATCAGTGTGGATACAGCCAGAATACACCTGGGATCCAGAGAACCACACCTGCGCAGTGCGTTTGGTGTGCAACTCATCAGGAGGCCTAAGACCCTCTTACACCTGGAGGATGAGGGATCAGACAGGGAGCAGCTCCAGGCTGCACTTCTTTCTTTCACCAGCAGAGGGCAATGTCACCATCACCTGCACTGCGGCTAATGCTGCCAGTCAGATGTCCCGCAATCATACAGTGAGGTGCATCCCCACAGGTGATCAAACCACAGACAACACAGGGGCACACATAATGACGTATGTATATATAAAGATATAGTACTACAAAGAATCATACCCAGCCTAATCTTTTATAAGTTAAGTTGTGTAAGCAATTGTCAGTGAGCATAATAAAAAGATAAGGATTAGATAGAGGATGGAGCAGGTCAGTGACATCTGCATATATAAAGATATAGCACTACAAAGAATTATATAGCCTATGCTTTTATAAGTTAAAATATGTGTAAATAATAGTCACTGAGCATGTAAAAAAACAAAATTTAAATAGAGGGTGGGGCAGGTTAATAGCCATGACTGTTCACAGGGTAGCTGCTAGTGTTAAATGACAATGGCTTCCACACCAGAGATCAGGAAATGCATCCTATTGTGCTCTACATCTGTTTTCCATCCATCTTCCTTTTCATCCATTCATACAGTGTATATTAACACTCCTACTGACAGCAGATTTAAGTTACCTTAAAATAAATAATAAATGCTAATGTAAATGTACATGTATATAGTTTCTAATGTGAAATCTCAGAATAGTGTTCTTGATTGCATAATTATAATGTGAACAGCAGGGCTGTCAAGTTTCATCAAACGTTTCGTGTGAGATTACATCTGATAGAGGAGCAGGGTGTGCCTTACGGTCAATGTGTGAGACTTGGGAACCCTGCCTACTATTGAGTCTTGCTCAGCCACTTCCCCCTTATCTGCCCTCCATGTGCACACATCCCGGAATTAATGTGCTTGCAGCAGGATCACAAGTAACTTATTTTGGAATCTACCCAGAAACATCCATCCACCACTGTTTAGTCCTAACTGGGGTCATGGGAGGGGGACCAGAGCATATCCTGGTAATAAGGGGTGCAGGCAGGTACCAAAACACACACACACACAAGTTGGTCTTCCTATCTAAATGGGGACCGTCCATTCATTTCTATGGGAAAAACCATAATCCCAATCACGACACCCTTAACCTCTACCCACCCCTAACCTTAACCATAAGTAACCAACCCAAATACTGTACAAGACTTTTAGCATTTTTACTTTTTTGATTGCATTCATAGATTTTTTATAAAACTGAGGTTATCCAAATGGGGACCTCAAAAGATGTCCCCAAAAGTAGGGAAATTTCAGGTTTTACTACACTTTGGTCCACAAATGTGATCTATGCAAACCCACACACACCATGGGAGGAAACCAGGGCCCCCAGTGGTAACCCACATGAACACAGGGAGAGCATACAATCTCCATACGGAAAGGACTGACACCCAATTCCAGGATCAAACCCCAGACTTTCTTGCTGTGAGGCAGCAGTGCTAACCACTGAGCCACCATGCCACCACTACTTGAAAGCAATAAGTGCTATTTTCTGATTGGCTGGTAGGTGACTATTAACTCTGTATAACTCAGGACAGTTATGAACTCAGTAGGAAACTCCACTCCGTATACCTGCGCCTCGCCCATTAATCCTATATAACGGGACACCTTAGTGGGAGTTATCCCTTACTTCTCAGCGTGAGAAACACAAAGTGTGGCGTGTGAGCGTGTGAACTGGTTGAAATATGTTTCTCACGATCAGTGCGTGAGACTTGAGAGCCCTGCCTACCGTATTCACCGAATCTTGTATATATAATGGCTTTTCTTCTTTTCCTCAGTGGCCCCTCAGCCCCAAACAGACTGGAAGCTGTTTCTATACATTGCGATCCCAGCTGGAGTTTCATTGCTCTGTGTTATCATCGCGTTACTGGTGTGCTGCTTCCGAAAGAAACCAAAAGGTCTGCAAATCACTGTTAATGCAGGATAACAATTAGATTGATCTGGTTAATTACTTGCACTCATTAACTTGGGTTTCTCTTTAAACGACAGACACCAGCCAGGAAGAGACGACCATGTATGCTGTGGTTAACAAAGTGGAAAGGAGTCAAAGTGTGAGTTCTGAGTGTGCCGTGTGTGACTGCATTCTTTTTGTGGTCACAGGCCAGTTTCTACTACATATAATTTTATTAAATGTAGCAATTTGGCAATTTGTTACACTGACTTTCCATGGGGATACATTTTAAAGAATAGTATTAACTGATTTAAGCAAAATTTACAGACATGAAATGAAGAAATTATGTTTATTCATACAAGCACAATGGAATTCTTTCAGTTTTCCATAGTCCACTTGCTCTCCTTTAAAGCATACACACTTACATACAGATGACAGCAAGGCATAGGGTCAGAGTGCAGGATCAGCTATTTATGTGGGACTCAAGTAGCATTTTAAGGGCCCAAAGGTGATGTGACCATTGAGCCAACCACATGATTCAAACTGGCAACTTTCAGAGGTTCAGAGGCATAGAGGCCTATACCTCTGAACTACAGCCGCCCTGCTACGAAAAAAAAAAACAATTTCTCTAAGGTACAAATTACAGACGTGTATTTTTGGGATACAGGTTATTGATAGGAGTTGGATGCAGGGTCTGTTCTTTCTTCCAGTAGAGTGTTAGTGTGCAGATGATGTTGTAAGACTGCAGGATCAGATAGCATGAAGTGGGAGACAGTTTACATGTATACTGTCAGGGTGCTAACTAAGCTATAATGGTATATCAGCAATTTATATGTATCATACCACAGCATTAGCGTCCTACACACCCATGTTAACCTGCCTGATGGGATTGCTGTTTAACCATACATCACAGTATATGACCTCACAGGCCTCTTCGCTAGTTCCATCATGCACCATACACACTACTCCTGATTACAACATATTCCTATTCCAATACATTGGCAAGCATGACCCCTGCTATTATTCAGAATAGTGGTTGTTTAAATCATGTGTCTAATGGACCTAATGTTGACTGAGCTAGATGAGAATGTAAGTTTATTGACTGAATTTTATATTTTGCTTGTTTTATGTGAACAAATACACACTTGCAGTCCTGTTCTTTGGCAATGGGCAAAGACTGAACTTGAAAAATACACACAAGTACCTGTTAAACCTAATTCACATGATTGTGAGGGCCACCATGGTGTAAAGGGAGCATTGCACACTTTCACAGTGAAGTACATTTTGATGTCATTGTTGTCACTGGCACTCGCTTGTTTGTGCTGCCCTTGCTGTCTATTTAACACGCTCTATTCTCTATTTTGCAGGCTGGGTTAGAGAATCCTGTGACTCTGTATGAGACTGTGGGTGATCTGAACCTACCGGAAATGGTAAGCTATATATATCTGTACTTAAACTGTGACTTAGACAGTCAAAGAAAATATTCAAATGATGTATAAAATGTATAAAACTACAATGTAAAAAGTAACCATCAAATATATCCAAGTATTTTTGACTCGACCATTAGTAAACCATGTTTGGCCAATCAATCCCAATGAAATAATACCAAGTTATCTAACTTATTAAGTTGATTAACTAATTGGGCTGGTAGTGAACTTAACAAATACAGGGAATGGTTGGGGTGTCCCTGAGGAGAGGTTTGGGGACCGCAACAGTGTTCATCTAACCATCCAGCTAGATATAAGTAACTTTTTGGGAAACAGAAGAAATTTTACTAGTCTTTATTGCATTACTCTTAATTTTGCAAATGTTATAATGTTAAATTGTGTTTTTTGTTCTGAGCAAATATGAACATGCAACTCATCATGCAACTAAACAGCTTTAAACATTTCCTTTGACTGTCTAAGACTTTTACACAGTACTGTGTACAGTATATGCTTAATTATCAGCAGTGCTTCTTCAAACTGCTTATTGGTGGTGACTGTCTTTAACATATATATTGTTATTTCAGCTACTTTCAAATTATAATTCTTAAATAAAGACATTTGACATTGCAGAGTTCTATTGATGAAAATGTATTGAACATATTAACATTAAATTTCCTTTAATTAGTACATCTAAATAGTACAGAGCCCTTCTAGATGGCTGGCATTGAATCACATGTCTGTGCTGTGTTGGTTTAGCCTGCTTCCACATTTCTTCAGCTGTCTCTTGTGATGTTTGTTTTTAGACGGTGTACTCCACTGTTCAGAAGCCCAGACCCCCATCCTCCCCATACATTGAAGCACTCTGAAGGATCACTGTGGAATGTCTGCAATATACACATTTAATACATCAATGTCTCTTAGTAGCTGCAACTTGTTATTAAATAAAAATATAGCTGCGTTTAAAGTCAAAACTTTCTATATGCTTTAAGTTATAAACTCAATCTGTGGTTCGATATATATGGCATGTACCCTGTAACATCATAAAAATGAAATAACTGATCCAATCCCTGCGCCACATTTTAATTTTTGCTGTCCTGATAAAAGACATTTTCATGTCCCATACAGATTAGATACTGAAACTGTGGACCCAATGGAATATTCTAGACATCTTGACATACTGTAATGGCAGTGTTGGGGAAGCTACTTCGAAAGCATAGCTTTGAACGCTACGAGTTACTTCATACTGGATGAACTTAAGCTACAGCAGAGCTACTGTACCTCAGGGAGAAATCTAGTGAAGCTACTTGGAAATAGTAGATCGACCTACTTTATAAAACAGTGATCAAATTGGCAAAGTGAATGTGAGTAACATTATAACAAATACTATAATACAAAACGTCACATGCCAGCAAAAAAACACTCAAATTGAGTTTATTGCAAAAAGTGCCTTAAGTACACTGTGAAAAAAATCCCGTTGTTTTTACAGAAAAAAGCTGGCAGCTGTGGTACCAGAATTATTATGTAAAAAATGCTATACAATCGTGAACAACTTTAAAGAAACATTAGTAAATTATACTGGATTTCAGTGTAAAACAACCACCAACTACATGTAAAGTTTACTTGGTTTGAGTATAGAATAAGCAACGATTAGATGTAAATTATACTGAAATAACTGGTACAACAGCAGCATGGCCCTGCTAAATTAACAGAAATAAGATGTTGAATCTACAAATTCACTATGTAAAATGTTCGTTTTGGTATGCGAAATTGACAAGCTGTTTTTGTAAACCTGTTTACATTTTTACCACATTTTTTTTCAAAATTATTCTGGTAACCACAGCTGCCAGCACTTGCTTGCCAAGGTAACACACTCTTTATTAATAGTCCTGAAAAGAACTACATCAGGCACCCAATTAGCTCCGAAACAGTTATATATAGGAAACATGAGGTTGTCAGACACTCAACTGTGAGACGCACACACGGTGGGAGATTTACATAAGCTAATTACACACGAGGATCGGACAGGGTACACATAAGACACAGGTAAACATATGCGCAACAATAAGGAAATATAACCATTAACAATAACAACAACAATACAAGGGCTATTTACAACTGCACGCAGGGCATGCTGGGACATGCGCCCCACCGGTGCTACAGTATTTTTTACCACCTCAGTGGAAAAACACCTTCTTATCAACTGAGCAGAGGTGTTGCCACGAGGTGAAGTTCTGACGGTAGCCCCGAATGTATCGTCAAAAGCTGACTGACAAACCAGAAAATCCTGAGTTGTGTGGGCTATTTCTTGTTGGTTTGTAAAATGTAACACGGTTTCTTTCAGTATAAACAAAGCTGACCTGATTAAAAAAATATTAATTTCACACCATTATGTCGTAATTTTAACTTTATATTGTATTGGTTTTTATGTTACAATTTGCATGCGTTTAAACTACAGTAATTTAACTACCAAAAAATTATGTTTTTACTGAAAAATTCAGTTGTTTTTTGTTAAGTATTTTACAAAATATTAATGTCAAATATACGCTGCTCTATTGTTTTTCCCTTTTACAGGTTTTTTATGCCGTTATTTTACAGAATTTCTCTGTTAATTTCACAGACATTTTTTACAGTGTAAAACAGTCTTCAATTTGCACCTACACAAACAAACAGAAATAATTTCCGTTGTCGCTTACCTCTTCAGCGTGTACTGTATTACACACAGTTTAAGACAGGTGAAATGTACCTGCACGTAAGCCTGTAAGAATCAGTATAACAGACCTCCAGCACTCAATCAAACACACATAGGCTTGAACACTGGTCTAATCAAAATGTCATTTTACATTTCAAAGCAGAGTCTTGTTTATATGACGCATGATGTTTATGTATGACTTAGTAATGCACGGGCCTCCCATGCCTCACAACAATAACTCACAAAACTTCAGCTTATTCTGTTCCCTCTCTCAGGGCGTCACATCATCATTAACCCGCCAAGGCCTCCATACCTTGAGACAATATCCCAAACCCTCAGATTAAACTGTCCCCTCTTCTACAGCATTATCTCTGGGGCAATATCTGCATGTGAGCCTTCCATTAGGGATTTTTTCCACATCACACACACATCTTTTCATCTTTTTTTTCATCCTTTATCTTTTTTACCTATCCTTAGGGCAGCCGCTTCAGTACAGACGGGTGTCTCCCTGTACCTCTGCTAGGTGGTCGTGTCCCTGAGTCTCTTCTCTGATACTGTTTGTGAAGTCAAATTATGTTGTGGTTCTTTCATTCACTGCCAATCAGGGAGTTAGGTGCTGCTTGCGTAGATCTTCAGATTCAGTCTTCATTGCAACAGCGAGGTTACAAGCAAGACTGGACACCCTGCAGAAGTGAGTCCCATGCTGAATTACACTGATTTTATAGACTTTTAATATCTCTTATCAAGATATTTGTCGCAGGGAATGTCCCAAGCATCATATTTCTTAACCAATTGCAGTCATTGTGCTTCCTTACCAGGGCTCAGGTATTCTGCCCCTAATTGTCTTTACTGTTATTCCCTGTCTTTTGGGGTCCAATTACTTCTCTGCCCCTATATGATAAGCCTGTCGATCTTTTCCTTTTTTTGGTCAAAGCTTCCGGAAAGCACAGTCATAGCAAGATGGCCTCCACAATGTTTTATAGTCCCATAACCAGTAAGGACATTTCAGGGGAGACCCAAGCAAAACCCCCAGGGCGTACTGTGAGAACCCAGGTGTCGTCTTCAATGATGACCATGCAGTCTTACTCTTGGCACTGTCAGCTGGCCATAAATTTCTTAGCTATATAGCCAATAATATTCTTCCGTCTTCAACATAGCGATAAGCTGTGAGCTGAATAATGACCATATATAGGTTTGCTGCTACATAAATATAATATTTGGTGTTGCTGTTGTGGTAAATATTCAATTTAATACAAATATGTTATCCTGGATAAAACATTTGCTTGATAAATATATATGCAAACTATGTTCCACTTTTTGTTGACATGTAGATGCTGTACCTGTGTAACATCCACAAGCCCTTCTACTGAGAAGAAAAGCCACTGTAAAGATCACAGTGGTGATAAGGATGACGGTGATGAGGAGGTTCGGAGTATACTTCTGCGTTTGTCTTGAGTGATCTGCTGAAACACAGACAGGTAAACATACATTGAGTTTCTATTAAGCTCACACACTAGTATAGGCACATGCATTAAGACAGAAACATGTATGCATGACAACAAATATTCTCACATACACACAGGAAAATGTATATGCACAAAAACCATTTATATACATATATACTTATGCACATATATTTAGGTAAAGACAGACTCACTTGAACACATACACCTACACCTGACACATACCTAAGTATAATGGGCAGAGCTCTGAGATCCCCACAGTTGCATTGTCCCATCTGACCTGGTTGCTATGGTTACATAATATAAAGTCCTTCATAACAGATAGAGAGAGGGCAGAGAACAGTTCTACCTGAGAACAGGTGCAGCTGTCACAGGTGGTGGTTAAGGACGTGTTGTGAGCCATGCAAGTAAGGGTCATATTACAGGTGTCTGGGCTGGAGGAGTTGGAGTCGACCCTGAGTATAGGAGACCCAACTCGCTCTGTAACAACAACAGGAGAAAGCCAGCTAATGTTACCGATTGGGAGAACCAGGGGAGATCACCAGCATGGTATCCCCCTATCACTCAGCATGTGGATACTCTCTAAAGAACCTCTGCTGGATCAGTTAGGAATCAGGACATATGTGTTAAAATATATGTCCAAACAAATTATGAAAATATAGACACTTGATAGGGTGGCAGGATGGCTCAGTAGGTAGCATTACTCCCACCCTATGGGGTACCACAGGCTTATGCCCTGTGGCACTTGGGATAGGCTGCAGGCTGCCTGGGCCCCTGACCAGGATTGGTGATTGGAGAACAGATAGAAAAACACATGATGTGACAATAGCAAGATTTTCAACTTGTATAGCAATGCTGTTGGTACGCAGTAGTTCAGTGTTACTTTCAGTTTCAGGTGTAAATTTGGCTATATGTGTGCGTGCAGTTTTCATGACATTCTTGGTTCTGTACATATTTCAATCAACTGAGATTCAGTTGTATTAGTGACTAAATTGCTTTCTGTGAGTAAATGACTGTGAGTGTGTCAATGTAATTATTTCAAATGTTCCATTATGCAATCCCATATATGCCTATATGAAATCTAACCATCCATTTTCTACAAGTGC